CATGCACGGATCCTGCGTGGCGAAGCCAGAATGCAGCAATCTTGGCAAGGGCTGATTGCGTGCAAGTCTGGTGTAGGGCTCAGCTGCCCCAACCACACACAATGCAGCTGCCCCAACCACACACAACGGGGATGATGATAGTTCATTGAGTTGTGCATGGCCATGACATCCTTGCCGCCGACTATGCAAGAAGACGCAAGCACCTCATCAAGGCCAGGCTGGTCATCTCTCTGAGAGCTTGCCGGGGCCTCCTTGTCAGCATCATTGTTTGCCGGCTTCTTGAAAATCTGGCTGGCTGGTTTCTTGCAAACCTCTTGGCTTGACAACGCCGCTGGCTTCTTAAAGGCCTCCTTGCGTGCTGGCCTCTTCATCATTGATGAACCTGTAAATGCGATGTTCAGGCTTGACGATCTATGGCGTCGAACTTGAGCAAGGAGGGCTTCAAGCCAGATAGTCACCATGTTTCACAAGTGGCTGCAAGAGTCGCAAACATGAACTGCAAGAGTTCGTGAAAGACTGCAAGAGTCTTATTTTTCTACACCCGTCAGGCCCTGTGACTGCAAGAGTCATTCCATATGAACTGCAAGAGTTGCCGGGCGACTGCAACAAACAACTGTGGCTGCAAGAGCCACCCATATGAACTGGAAGAGTTCATCGGTGGCTGCAAGAGCCACCGAGCGACTGCAAGAGTCGTTCAAAGTTGGTGGCTGCAAGAGTCACCTGCGGCTGCAAGAGTCGCCGAGTCACGCAACTCATGGCAGACTGTAAGAGTCTTCTCTCTCCCACTCTCTCTCACATGATCATGGCTGCAAGAGCTATCAACGCGTTGCATGAAACTCATGGAGTGCTGCAAGAGCATGGCTGCAAAGATGTAAACATGTTTTAAACTCTTTCAGTTGTACCCGTTTCGAACTCTTGCTCGCTGCTTGTTTTGAACTCTTGCAGTTCTATGTGTTTCGAACTCTTGCAGTTCTACATGTTTGGAACTCTTGTTTGCAACTCTTGCCGCAGTTCAGGGTTCAGGTCTGGGTGGTCTTCAGTTTGGATGGTCTGGGTCTTCAGTCACACTGGCTGGCCCCGGCCTCAAGGCGAAGCGATCTGCAAGCCTCAGCAGTTCCAACTGCGCGTGTGTGTCTGTGTGTGTGTGTGAGTGAGTGAGTTGGGTTGGGCATGCATCACGTGTTCTGCTTCTAACCACGTTCTAAACATCTAAACACGTGTTAAAACCCACCAGCCGCCCAAGTAACCTTTCGGACTGAAAGATTACTTGGGCGGGTTTTACCTTCAGCAACTGCCGCGCGTCAGCTATCAAAACATTACTTGGGCGTTTTGCCAGCTCATGACATGCCTCGAGTACTACTGGCGGCACTATTCTTGCTGACGCTGGCCCCGGCATGCTGGTGCGCTCCAAGGAAACTGAAGAAGAAAAGTCTTGGGCAAGCAGTTGCGCTGTCTGCGCAGGATTGGCAATCCTGGGCCCAGTTTGTGCTCAATGAGCATGGACCACGGATGTATGTGCTCATCATGCTGACAGGGATGTTTGCCTTGCGTGCTGGAGAAGCTGCAATGCTCAACCGCGAGGATTTGAAGCTGTACATGTCTCCGCCTAGGCTTTGTGTCCCGAAGGAGAAGGGGCGCGGGAAGTCCGCAGGTCACATCCCAATCATGCCAGAGCAAGTTCAACTTTTGCAGACGTGGATTTCGCAGGGAGTGACGTCCTCACGAATGGTGGCTCTCAACCAAAACGGCAAGCGGATGATTACTGAGAAATACGAATTGCCAGCGAAAGGAAGGCTGTTTGCAGGCAGAAAGATGTACAACAACAAAAAGGTGAAGCAAGATCATCTTTCTTACCATGGCGTGTGGTCAGCAGTCAGAAAGCTTGCTAAGAAGTTTTGCACTGCGCATCCGTCCGCGGCGTCAAAGTGGGAGCAGCTAAGGACACACTCCGGCCGCGCCACAAAGATAACTATGATGATGGGAGAAGGCGTCTCGCTGGCCATGAGCATGGAATACGCAAGACACGCGAAGTCTAGCATCAAAACGCATTTGGGCTATGGACGTCTCACCCCCAACCATGTCCACAGTTACCTCATGCAAGAAAGAAGCCGGCAGATTGGGCTGCTGGCAACCATGGTGCAAACCCCGCCATCATCACCGTCAACAAAGACAGTCAAGAAAAGGTGCAGGGGCAAGCAGGCGCTACTACCAAGCCGGGCCACAGACGAGTGCCAAGCCGTGAAGAAAGCGACGCCCTACAGTGCGTTGCAGGACTGCACTTTGAAGGATGTGATGCAGTGGCAGGCGGATGGCAAGCTAACCGACGAAGAGTTTGGCAAAATCAAGGATAGCCTGTTGAAGACCCTGTGAGCGAGAGCGAGAGCCGAAAAATGAAGACTCACAGCGCGCATGAAACAACTCAATGCTGATCACTCAATGCTGATCACTTGCGCAACCCTGCGCTCAGGCGGGCACGGAACGACGGAACTTGTCGTCCGAGCCTCAGGCCTCAGCAGGAACCAGCGGGCTGAAACCATGCGCTCACTTGACAAATGGGCGAACGGTGGCAGCCTTCCTTGTGACACATGTGATGGCTGACGCTGACACTTCATCCTTGGCTCCTGGATGGCAATCAACGCCCTTTGTTTCCTTTGCTTGGCTTTGAGCTGCTGAGGATTCTGACAACTGAGACAATGTCAACTGCCGAATTAGGAGCGGCGGCGCACTTAGAGGGCTGCGTGGGCCCGCCAAAAAAATCATTGCTGCGTTGAATGAAAGTGACGCAGCCTACTTTGCTCCAAAACTGAATTGGCTTGACTGCTTTTTAATGGGGAAATGACCGGCCTTCTCTCGAGCCAGCCGAGGATCATGAAACGATCCAAAAAGGCGCCTTCGGCGCGATTCAGCCATGCGTCCGAAGCCTAATTTCTAAGCCTCGATTCCAGCAGCATCAGCTTCAGTGGATAGCATCTAACAATTGAGCAGGACCCAGTCACGGAGATCACCATTGTCGTCCTCAACATCCTCGTCCTGCTCCCTCACACTGTACTCCCGTGCGGGCCCCAAGGGGTCACCTTCCTGGAAGAACGGCAGGACTTCACCTGAGGGACGGCGCACGCCAAGCAATTGGTGGGGAACGCATATTTGTATGGAAGACATTTGTTCGCCTATTTTTCTGTATTGTGTAAGACACGGGAACCAATGGGTTTTGTTGTAGGCTGAGCCCACCTGGTAAGACGATTAGGTTTGATCGCTGATAGAAACCAGGACGCCATACACTCCAAGTCGCTGACAAAGCAGGCCATCATGAACACACGCGATCTCTGGCTGAAGTTCCCCGAGCGGAAACTCAAGTACACGTTTGCCTGGCCGTAGAGGTCCAGCTGGCCAAAGTAAAGCACAGACCCTTGCGAAAATGCACCGCCATCAAGAAGCAAGACATGACACAAGCCATAAAACTAGGTCAACATTAACAAGCGTTCAAAGTGCCGAAAACTTGACCAGTGCGCCAGGCTTCGGATACCGTCACTGTACACAAGCGCATTCGGGTTGCGCAGCGTCAGGCACAAGTTCCTGATTGTAGCCCCCCTTGTGCACGCAAAGTGATGCAGGTGGAGCCCAGTCATGTCCCAAGTCCAGGTGCCAACTGCGCCGTGGGCCAGAACCCCCGACCTTAGCAATGAATCAAGGTGGCTCACTACAACCCATTTGACATCTCCAAGCCAACTACCTGAAGTATGTTATACTTTAATAATAGCTGAGACGCCGCGTGCGACGGATGAACAGCACCTCCTGCTCTGGCGTGCACCGCAGCAAAAGCCACTCCGAGTGCCGTCGCGTGCCCCAGTGCATGTACTTGAACACCACGTACTTTGTGAAGAACCCGGCAGGAAGGGTTGGCACAATCTCCATGGCTCACAATGAAAGTGATTTGGCTGCCGCTGCACTACGCTGGTGAATCAACAAAATTGCCTTCGGCGCGCGAAAGGTGAACGATCAACACTTCTCCATCCATGCTCGGGCGAACACACCGTCAAAGTTAGTCAATCAGTGCAGAATTCAGTTGGGTGGTCAACGGCAATTTAGGCTCAGACCAGTTTTGCTCAGCAAGCTGCTGAACTCCAGGTTGCCTGAGAACATCAATGATGACAGAGCACAGAATCAATGCTGCCCAACTAAACTGTTTGACTCTTGCAGTCGAAACCAGCTGGGCGCTTGACAGCACCAAAGGGCTGGGATGATGCTGCCTTGCAGAATGGCATGGAACGACGCAAGACACGCAACACCATTCTTTGCATATTGGAGAGATTTGGAGACGCTGATATTTTTTCACGGCTTCTCACGTCTCACGGCCAGGGCTCCACGACGAGGTGCACTCTGAGTCAGAGGGTCAACTGTTTGAAGAGAATATTCAATTCAACTGGGGCCCATCCTTGCAACATGGCTTCCGTTCAGAACAGCCCCCCCCTGACTGGCCAGAACTTATTTGTTGACTTTCAAACTGGCCAGATATTTGGCCAGGTCGCATAGCGAGTATCTGTGTTGCACAGAAGTGAATTGAAAGCATTGGACTGCCCGCGTTGCCTGCCAGCGTTGGACTTGCGCAGCTCAGAAAACTTTAGAACTGCCACGCTGTGTCTGCAGGAGCTGCTCAGCGCTCACATCACCTGAGTCAGCAACTCCAACGCCCCAAGCCATCCGCCAGCCCATGCTAAACTCGGCGTCAGCGAGTGGTGAGCCGTGCCAGCATGCTCACTCACTGAAGAATTCAGCAAAGTCAGCTTGCCGAAGTTTGATCTGCCTGGTTACAGCATTTGCCTGGTTTCAGCTCTGTTCGGCAATCTGACCTATTGATCGGCAACCCAGGCTAACCCCCGCAAGGGAATCAGAACGAGTCGATTCAAAATTCTGAAGCGGCAGTCATAGCCACCAGCGCACACTCAAGGCTCATAGCCACAGTGCTGCGCCTGCACATTCAAAGGTCCTGACAAGCCTGATTCCTACTCAGCAGGATCCTGCCCCTTTGCAACTTTCAGCAGGGCTTGCAACTTCTCAGACAACTGCAGCGGCGGAGGCTTAGCCTTGACCTTCGCTTCACTCTTGGACTTGGCTTTGGCTTTCGCCGCCGCCGTGCCCTCAGCCTTCTCCTCCTTGTCCTTCTTAGGAGGCACCACCTTTGCCTTGGCCTTGGGCGGGGCATTTGGCAAATCCTGGCCAGCTTCGCGCTTCTCACCTGGCAACGCTGCAGAGGAACACTCAGACTCATCAAGGCCGTAACAACCACAATTAACATGACGCCGCTCGATTTTAGTCCAACGCGCCTCTCTCCTCCTGAACCTCTTTGGCGTAGGCAGCGCAGTACACCTTCGAACTTGGCTCCTCCATGGAACGCAAAACCTCCTTCTTCAACCGGGTGAGGATGAACTCGCGCTGATACTCTGTCTGGCAGATGCCCAAGTACCCGACCTGCTCCAGCACCGCGCTGCACGCCAACTCGCCAGTGCCAGGCGCTAGATCGCAGCAAGAAATCGCACTCAGGGAGTGCAGGAAGCTCTCGCCCACAGCGCTGGGTAGCTGCTGGAAATTAACACACTGCACAATGTCGTCAGGCATGCCCGTGCTTCCTCGGCCTCCACCGACCTTGGGCAGCTCCAGCATAGGCACCACCTCCTGATCCTCCTCTTCATCCGGCTCGTTGTCATCATCATCGCTATCCTCATTGGCACCTTCAGTGCGTCCGCCCACTGCTCGGCGCCTCAATCCCCAGAACTCCTTCTTGTCCTTCATGCGAAGCTTGGGGAGGTTCTGATACGCTTCCAGGGAAAATGGCCCCAGCACGTCCGACATGTTCGTGGCTTCGGGGAAGAACTTGTGCGTCTTGGCTGGGATGCCTAAGTCGGGCTAGCCAACAGACAACAGCTGGAAAAGCATGTCTGATTTGATTCTTGCAGCCAACTCTAGACAAGCTCTTGCAGCTCCTCTGCAAATCTCCTACTTTGGCTGACGCTGTGCCGACTTAGGCAGTCGGGCTACTAAACAACAGCTGGAAACACGTGTCTGATTTGCTTCTTGCAGCCAACTCTAAACGAGCTCTTACAGCTCCTCTGCAAATCGCCTACTTTGGCTGACGCTGCGCCGAAGCAGCAAAACGCAATGTCGCCACAACAGCCGAGGCGCTGGTAGTGCTGCCATTCCAGAAAAGCAGCGCCCTCTGAGAGCAACTCAAGAAATCATTCTTGTGCTTCTTTCGGAACTTGCGGCCAACCACGGACTTCTCGTCGAACGCCACAGTGATCTGCCGAGAGAGAGTCTTTCCGTCGCGCTCTTTGCGCCCACGGTCGGCTGTGCGACGGTCCTTGCCCATGCCGAACAAGTTCACGACTGTCACGTCCGTCTTCCGGCAGCCGTCAAGCAGCACCAAGATGTCACCAGGCGGCAATAGCCCTGGGCTGCCAGGGTCCTCGCGGATTGCTTTGAGGGCCTTCCACATCTTCGCTACCACTGTGCTCTGCAGAGGCGGCCGTCTGATGTGCGGCGCTGTGATTGCTTCTCCAAAGTTGTTGGAATCGAAGTAGATAACCACGTTGTTTCCGTTCTGGCCGCGGATCTTTGAGATTGCGTATTTGCTCATGGCATTCTGAAGCTGGGTCTGCGTAAGCCCTTTCTCAACAACCAACACCACGTTCTTGGCAATGATGCGGTCAGCCATGGCAAGCCAGCCATCTGACACCGAGCCCAGAGCAATGCCTGGCGCGGGGGGGGGGGGGGTAGGGGGGTGAAATGATAAACTACCAAAGGTTGCCAAAACGTCAACAAGCCGTTGCGACATAAGTTGCGGTAAAATGGTACTGCTAAGACAAGGCGCCTTCTTCATGCATTGTGGTGCACTGATGCAGTTGCTCAGTCTTTGTCGATGAAGCGACAGCTGCTGCTCCCTGTGAGGACTGAGCAGTTGAATCCTCATCGCCGTCTTGCAGCGCAACCCCTGGCACAGCTGCTGCGACAATATCAGCCAATAGCTGCTTGTAAGGCTGATACTCCTCCAAAATTTCCTGCCCTGTCTTTCCAGCCTTGATGCCCGTCTTGACCGCAGGAATCTCCGACGAGTCAAACTTGTAACCCACAGACTCCAGCAATTCGATCAACTTGCTCACGGCGGTTGGCAAACCCAACATCCATGTCCTTTCCTTGACCTGGGCTGCCGTAAGCCACACACCAACAACTCCTCATCAAAACGTTGGCTTCTCCTGCTTCTAAAATAAAAAACAAAACCTTACAGACAATTAAACACGCCTGGTGGCAATGTAGTTTGCCTCGTAGTTCTCTGCTGTGTCAAAGGTCTTCTTCAACAAGGCCTTGTGTTCCGGGGAGATGTTGTTCTGCACGTCCAGCCAGCGGCTGAGCAAGAAATCCCTCATCGCCTTCTTCGTGATCACAACATCTAAGAGGCCAATCTTGCCACCATGCCCTCCTCCGCCGCGCAACTTTTTGGTGGACAGCTCTCCGACCTCAAGCTGGTCTTGTTGGAGCGCGAGCTTCATTGATGTGAAAAAGTACTCAAGCGTGGGAATCTTCTTCAGTTTGGCTGAAATTTCCACTAGCTTGCCAATGCTGTTGAAAGGGCCCTCGCTGCCATGGGTTGTGTCAGACCACGCGATGACACTGGCGATCACCTTGTTGCTCAGCACCCTCTCGTACACTTGGCAGGCTCGCTGGATGTTGCCTTCGTCGCTTCTGGGCTCCTCGTCCGTCTCCGTGTCCGGCATGAACTGCAGGTAGAGGCCGGCCACCTCGGCGTTAGTCAGAGTTTTGTTCAGCAAGCTCTCCTTGCGGCGCTTGAACAACCAAATGTCCTGGCAGATCTGCGACGCCAAGTGCGTCACTGTCTTGGCTATGTCTGCTGTTCGACGTCGGCTGTTGACACTCCAGAAGTATCGTTCATCCCACGACGAAGCTCGTACACATCTGGCCTGCGTGGACAGCAGAATCTTTCGCCAGAGCTCCAACTCAGGCTCGTCAGCGTCGTCGCGGATCCGCCTAGCCACCCACACCAGCAATGCTTGAACTGGCTCTTCAGGAGAGATTCTGTCAAACTCCGGCATCTTGCCATTCACCAGCTGCTTGGCTACGAAGTCCACCGGCTCAAGCAAGGGAACGATTTTCCCATGCCCCCACAGGTTCATCATCATGGCTTCCACCTTCTGCACATTGATCCGGACCGAAGGCGTCATTGACTGCAAAGGGTTGCAGCGCAGCACGTTGACGCCGCCAGCGCATAGCACCTCATTGTGGCTGCCCTGGGGGTTCATCAGCCGGTCATGCATCACCTGCCAGTCCATGGGCGCCACAAGCGCGCCCTCCTCCAAAGTGAGAGGCTGCTTGTCCACGAAATCCATGCCAAACTGGCCCAAGATCGTGTCGACAGCATCAGTCACCTTCTGGTGCCACTCAACGTTGGGATTGACATAGTCAGGCTCTTTGGGGCTAACAGCGGAAGCTGCCGACTTGGCAGCAGGACTTGCCTTCTTAGGCGCCATGCCAAAAAAAATGAGCTTGGAAAAGCTGCGATCAAACTGTCAATGATTCCAAGTGTCAGGTCAATACGAGCGAGAAACCTGCACAGCTTGTCTCAGTCCAGCCTGCTGCACGCCAATGGCCGAGGCAAACAAGCGATGCCATCACACAGCCTGAGCAGGACAGACTGAGACCTTCTTCAAAACTGAGACAGACTGAGACAGCTGAAGCTGATAACAGACAATCGCAACCAAGTGCAAACACAAAAAATGTTCCTATACTCTCCTCATGGAAAAATGTTTACGTTGCACAGTGTCCGTTGCCGCAAGAGAGGCCATTCCTCCGTGTGTTGTTGACTTTTGAAACCTGGAACTGGGTCCTGGGAAGCTGCAGCGTACAAGGGGCACTTTGGTCACTGCTACTGTACCGGGCTTGGATTCCAGGAAGCTGCGGCGTACAAGGGACTTTGGTCAGTAGGCTGTACTCCAATTCTGGCACACCCAATAGTGGCCAAAGTACCCCTGGTACGCCCCAGCTTATTGGAGACAGCCTACAGTGAAAGCACCTGGTACGCCCCAGCTTCCTGAAATTTAAGGCTGGTAGTGGCCAAAGTACCCCTGGTACGCCAACCAAAGTACGTCTGGTACACCCCAGCTTCCTGGAATCCAAGCCTGGTACAGCAATAGTGGGCAAAGTACCCCTGGTACGCCCCAGCTTCCTGTAAGTCAGCCCCAGCTTTGTGGAATCTACAGCCGGTGCCCTCCAGCCTGGCAGCCAACAGTGACCAAAGTACCCCGGGTACGCCCCAACTTCCTGGAATCCAGGCCGGTACAGCCTACAGTGACAAAGTACCCTGGTACGCCCCAACTTCCTGCAATCCAGGCCGGTACAGCCTACAGTGACAAAGTACCCTGGTACGCCCCAACTTCCTGGAATCCAGGCTACAGTGACAAAGTACCCTGGTACGCCCCAACTTCCTGCAATCCAGGCCGGTACAGCCTACAGTGACAAAGTACCCTGGTACGCCCCAACTTCCTGTGGGCTGTACCAGGCTTGGGTTCCAGGAAGCTGAGGCGTACCAGGGATTCTTTGGTGGGCGTACCAGGCCACTATTGGCTGTACCAGGCTTGGGTTGCAGAAAGCTGGGTTGCAATGCGCGCGTGCGTAACAGGGGCACTTTGGTCATTGCTACCGTACCACGCTTGGATTCCAGAAAGCTGGGGCGTACCAAGGGTACTTTGGTCACTGTAGGCTGTGCCAGGCTTGGATTTGGGAAGCTGGGGGTATTTGGTCGCTGGATTCGAGGAGGCTGTGCCGTACCAGGACCTACTTTGGTTTTGGGCAAAGCTGGGGCGTACCAGGGTACTTTGTGACCAATGTACCCCCGGTACGTTCCAAGCGCCAACAGTCACCAAAGTACCCCTGGTACGCAACAGCCTTCTGAATCCAAGGCTGGCGCAGCCTACAGAAACCAAATACTCTTGGTACGCCACAGCTTCTTAAAGCCAAGCCTGTTTGCAGAAAGCTGGGGTGCGCGCGCTACCGCATGCGTACCAGGGGCACTTTGGTCATTGCTGCTGTACCAGGCTTGGATTCCAGTAATCTGCGGCATACGAGAGTATTTTGGTCACTGCTGGCTGCGCCAGACAGATTTTGCTGGCGCCCGGCACGGTGAACGTTACTTGAAAGTACCCTCGGTACGACAAGTTCAAGGCAATAAGGATTTACCAAAGAGGCGCTGCCAAAACTCAAGGTGCTGCTCAGGAGGGGTAGTTTGCCCCCCCCCTTCAGTGACTCACCACGTCAACGCCTGAAGTCACTGACCCCCTGCATCAACAACACCGAGCAAGGGGCAAAGCTTAATCAAGCGGGTCGCAGCTGGCACGGCGCCCTTCAAGGGAGGGGTCAGTGACTCACTGCGTTGACGTGGTGGTCTGGTCAGGGGGGGGTCACTGACCCCCCCGGAGCAGCAAGTCATTTTGTTTGTCTGCTAGCCAACTGCGCTCGATTAAGCTTTTGCCACTTTCGGGGGTTAGTGACTCACCCCGTCGACGGGGTGAGTCACTAACCCCCGAAAGTGGCAAAAGCTTAATCGAGCGCTTTAACCTCGCGAACCCCCTTGCGTACCACCTGGTGTTTTGACACCGCGCCGTACCGCCGTACCACGCCGTACCGACCCCCTTTTTCACGTACTGCCATACCGCGCTGTACCAACCCCTTTTTTCATGCACCGCCGTACCACGCTGTACCGACCCCCTTTTCACGTACCGCCGTACCACGCCGCACTGACCTCCTTTTTCATGTACCGCCGTACCACGCTGTACCGACCCCCTTTTTCAGGTACCGCCGCGCCACGCTGTACCAACCCCCTTTTTCAACAACTGGGCTGACAAGTGCACACATCAGCAGCGCTAGTTAAACATGTCACACCTGGTTTCAAAAACTAAAGCTCTTGCAGCTCTAGCAATGCCTTGAAGTGCTAAGTAACGTTTGCTAAGTAAGGCGATGCACCGACTCAAAACGCAATCATTTGGCAAACCGGTAGTTTTGAGGTCAACATTTCCAAACATCACAGGCTCAATAAGCGCACGACAACTTCAACCGATGATGGCCTGATGAGAGTCACCCTCGTCTCGCAGGTTCAGCCTTGAAAAACGCGGAACATGCAGTCAACTGCTTGCAAGAGACTGTCAAGCACTTGCAGAAAACAGAACACAAGTACTCAGTATTTTTCCCATGCAGAGTCATGCAGTGTGTCACTTGCCCTGACACGTCTTCTCCAGATCAACCTGGAAAACGAAGTCTCTGAATTCCTGAGGAGTCCAGCAATGGCTAATGCCTGCAAACACTGGCTTCTCGGATTCATGCAGCAACGCCAGAACTGATGCAGAGCTCCGGCAATCTTCAGCTTGCTGTTTAGCAACTGCGAATTCTTCAAGTGAATTGATCAGCCGAAACTGGTTTGATTGAAATGCTTGGAGCACAGCAAACTCTTGGGAGTGCTCCGTCTGAAACTTCAGAGTGCAGAAGACCTTGCGCTTGGTGCGGGCTGCAGGCTTAAGCTTGATGGCAGCCCCTTTGTAAGCACACACAAAGTCGGGTGTCACAAGCCATATGCCACCAAGCGCAGCTGCAATGGCAAGGTGCACAGGCAGGGCGGAGTTGATGACGTCAAGCACAACGACTTTGGCATCGTGGGCTGCCATGGTGACATGCCAGCCCATGCTGTCCATTGCAGCGTCCAGTGCCCTAGTCCTCAATGAATCATCAACGAGCACGGCCAGGCCATACAACTCCTGCAACAAACACGCACAAACATGCCTGTGACCCTCGCGTTCGATGTCAACAACCCGTGGGCGCTTTGTTTCGGAGTTGACACAATCAGGCTGTGTAACATGCTTGTTGACAGGTTAAGCTTGAACAAGGGTTAGCAACACTGCCAGTCTTGGCGCTGACTGTCCAGCCTGATAACATTAGTCTGTCTCAAGTAAGAGCGCCAAGCCAATACATTGAACACGATCAAGGAGTTTGCTGGAAACGAAACTACAAGCTCCTCCGGGTCAGGAAGCCTTTGCAAGGTCTGCTTAGCCAGCCGGCGCTCTGCTCGCTCTCGCTCCAACATATTGGAGTGCCTGGATTGCAAATACTTCCTGGCCTCGCCGCGGAGCTCATCAGGCAGCTCAGAAATGTTCAGCGTTCCAGACTCCAAACACTCGTAGGCTCGCTTCAACTGTTTCTTGCAGTTGAACCGTAACTCTTCATCGTGAGCAGCAGTCCATGCGCTTGACGGGTCAGCCAGCACAACCTCACTGGCTGCAGCCACATCCCCCGCAGCCATCTTGGCCGCAACATCTTGCCGTCTTGTCTTGCGAAACATTGTTTCTGACACCGCCTTGCCTGAGTCATCGCCATTGGCAGCATCAAAGCCATCCGCGATTTGTCTGCTACGGCTTTTGACAACGCCTTTGTCAAAGCGCACTTTCGTTCTTGCCCTGCTGCAGACACCGTAGGCTTCCTTCCAAACCTGCTGAGCGGTGCGGATGACTTCGTTGTCTAAATCTGGGTCGCTCAACGCAATGACGACAATGTCATTCTCGGCCTCTATTGCGCATTGAAGGCGCTTCTCGCCCAGGACATGCTTGACACGCGAGAAGTCACGCTCCACCACACTGTCAGAGGAAGTCATGCACCCGTAGTGCGCAAGCGCAACTGCCAGCGAGTTAACAGGGTGGCGCCTTCGAGCTGCACTACTGCTTGTGGAATCGATTGCGTGCTGCCAGCATTGCAAGTTACTGCGCTCTCGATTCTGGTTCCTCCAGAAAGCCAGGGCAATGGAACCCAAGTCAAGGTACTCTGAAATGAGCTCCTCCAAGTCCAACTGCAGGGACGACGCAACTCGCCGCAACGCTTCTGAGCACTGAAGGTTGCTCGCGGTCATCGATGCTGCCTGCTGCTCAAAGCACTCCATGTCAAATGCGCTGAAGCACTGGACCAGCTCGAAGCTAGGATGCTCGGCCCGCACAACCTGCTCAGCCAGCGCCCGCCATGCCAGCATCCGCGACAGGCAACGGGAGCGCAGCTGGGCGGGAACGGCGTTGGGCCCACCAATGCATCGAACTTCTCCTCTCACCACAATATGAGTTGGTGCCTCCAGAAACCTCAATGTGGCCAGCGTGTACCCAGCGGATGTCCACACGTTTTGCCTCAAGGCGCAAGGAATCTCGATCATGAGTGGAAATCAAACGTACACACACACACACGCACGCACGCACGCACACACGCACACACGCACGCACGCACCTACTCACGCACACACACACACACACACTTACACACACACACACGCAATATTAATCGGAACAAGCCACTCGTCGAACAAGTAGTGCAGGCGCTGAAGAAACGTGGCCACACTGGCGGAGATCTTGCCCGAATCCGGGTCACCGGTGTCGAAGAAGCGAATGAGGATTTGCGCTTCGTCCGTTGCGTCGGCCAGAAGACCCGCCTGCAGCATCATTTCTGCATCCAGTGCATCAAGAATTGCCTGAGAAGCTGGAGAGCGGCGTTCAAGGCTCACCTTGACCAAGAAGCTGATGACTGCCTCCCAGTTCAAGCAGATGCGAGTCAACGGCGCAGTCAGCGACTCATAGCGATGTTTTGCAGCTCTCAGGTGTTTGAACTCGGTAGTTGTGGCTTTTGTGGTCGCGTCCCTGCAGCACTCAAAGAACCACGCCCGAAAATCATCGGAATATTGAATCATTTGCGAGAGAGAGTTCTTCTCAGAAACAAGCACGCCCGCCACCAAATCCAAATATGGATCACACGACCACGGTCGCGCTAGAATCCGTCGGCTACAATGTGCCTTGTCTCGGATCACTGCCAGTATGTTGGGGCAGAAAGCTGCTCCATCCACCGCAGTGGAACTGTCTGCGTGCTGCATGTTTGTACACGCAGCAATCTCATCAGACGCAGCATCAACTGTCACACTGTGAATGTGCTCCCGTATGTGATCAAATAGTCCACTGTCAAAAGAGGCTATGTCGGCGTGGCCTGACTTGGCGTAATATGGGCAGCCGAAGTTGGTGGTGCAAAACTCATTGAGCAACTGCTTCGTGAGATTCGTCACATTGGTCGCCGTGTTTTTGACGAGCTTGCCTTGCGCGAGAACTCCAACAAAGCGTCTGGCTTGCCTGGCGCGTCACGACAACGAGTTGCAAATGCGTGTGCAGTGCAAAAAGCATGGCCTGGAAACAAAAAAGCCTGCGCGACGGTCATCAACCAACGAAAAGTGTTTGAGTAATTGCCCAGTCAAGACTCGAGTTGGCGCATCTGAATCTCACAAGCAAACGGCTGTGACGCTCGTCTCTCAGTAGCGCCACTGTGTTGCTGGCAGCCAGCCATGTCCGGTATGTCCGGCGTAGAGCTTCAGCCAGCGTCCACGACAGCATCTTTGCCTTCTTGAAATGGCCGACATTTGGCACGCCGTCTCGAAGGCAACCTCCTTTGCGAATCCAAGCCAAGAGGCTGCTGAAAACCTCTGCCGCTGGCGCAGCCAGCTGGTCGCCAACTTCAACTGGTTCACCTGGCTCATGGCTCAGCATCCTCAACACAGCCGCTTGGTGGGCCTGGCTGTTCGCATGAGCCTTGATTCTGTAAGGCTTCAGCGCCTCAACTGTGCGCACCTCAAATCGAGCAAACACATCTTGATCACGAGGGATAAGAAGCTCCATGCAAATCGCGCACCCGACAGAAAAAGGCTCGCCGCTTTGGTCTTGAGCGGTCAACCACGACTCCCTGTCAAGCGCTCTCACGTTCTCCAACAAGCTTGGAGGACACATCTTGATCAGCTCGGCTGTCACGATTGGAATTTGCGAGTGGTCCATCTTGTAAAACCGCTTGCAGGGGCAACGGCTCGTACACGAATGCTCTCCCATGATGGCAAATGCGTCGAGCACGACAACAACAAGTTTAAGTTGCGATGGCAAATGGAAGACTGTTGCAAGAAAGTGTGATGTGTGGTCAGTGATTGCTAGTCTTGCTGTGTCCGTTCTATGAAATGCCTCTCACCGCGGCGCAATCTGGACTGACGCGGCAGCAAGTCCAGAAAACAATGCATGGTGCTACTTTGAATGCGAACTCTTGCAGTTCCTGACTGATGCACTGGCAGCTGCTCTTCTGAGATGGCGACTTTGTCCCCCACGTTGAAGAACGACGCCTAGCCGCAGCGCAATGCGAGCTGCCCGCTCGTGCTCTAAATCAGTGACAGAAGACTTGCAACAAAACGTGGGCCAACGGCGCGCTCAACTTTCCACGAGCTGGGCGGGAGCCCGCATTCGAATTATTTACATCCTTGGGTGATGCTTCCGAGCCCGCTGCAAGGCTTCATCAAACTCACCTGCAGTCATGAGCCCGGCTGCCCGCAACATGTGTGGAAACAGGTGCAGCAGAACGTTTAAAGTCATGGCATTGCCAAGTAAGGCGCCAAACTGGGAATCGGAGATGGTCAGGCTTCGCCAGTCCAGAAAGCCATCCCAAAAGCCTTGTAGCCTGGCCATGTCTTCGGGGCTCAGGAAACCGCCTTTGACAGTGCACCAATAGCCCTGTCTCATGCATTCGCTGCGAGTCAGGGTCATGACACGGCCCACCATGTGGTTGCATCGTCCCTGGCTGGCGCCACTTGTGATGAACACGTAGGCTTGGAAGGGGTTCACGTCCTTCTCCAAGCACTTCTCCAACTCGCGAAGCACATTGACAATCCTTGTCGTACCACCCTGGGGCCCTTCTTCAGGCACAGCTTTGAACTCAGACGCTGGCAGTCTATCAATGAAGTCAGACACAGGCGGGCAAGGGACCGGGGACGGAAATGAGAACGCGCCCACTTGGCGAAGGATGCCAACCATGTACACCCGCTCCCGCGCCTGTGGCGCTCCATACTCATATGACTTCAAGATGCTCAGGTGCAAGGTGTACTCAGCTTTCTGCAGCTCCTTGCACATCACCTTCATGAACTCCGACGACACCACATCTGGCACCTGCTCCATGAGAATCAGCCGCGGCTTGTGGTAAATGATGTAGGCCAGAGAGTGTAGTCCGAGGCACCCTAGTTCGCAATCATCAAATTGCCTCTTGCCTTGCCTAGAGTAGGACTGGCACGGAGGTCCGAAGCAGAACAAATCCACGTCCGGAGCTTCTTGGACATTGCGAGCTCGGACATCGGTGTAGACGATTTCAGGCTGCAAGAAGTGGAGCACCTTCAAGCTTGCAGGCTCGCAATCACAGGAGAAGACGTGCCGGCATGGCACCTGCAACCGCTGGAGAGCCCAGTAGGGCGTGTCCAGGCCCGAGAAATCTGACCCTAGGCGTATCCGCCTATTGGCCATGGCGGCCTAAACCTAAGGCGAGGATTCACGTCGACAACTTGGGGACCGTTCAAGAACCACTGCAATCCGCCCAAGAAGCACTGCAAAGCAACGCTGTCTGCCCAACTGTGCCTACAATTCTGGAGAACGCTGTCTGCACATTGCGCGTTTTCGCTATTTTGTTTCGTTGGTCCATGAGATTAGTGAGTTTCCCCTGAACATGATGAACTCAGCCTGTCTCTACAGTTACTACTACGCCGCCGCTTCTTAGCAGCTAAAACTGTACTCCTGGCCTCAGTGGAATCAGAAGACAAAGAGCACGCAGACGCATCCGTGTCCACGCTGATGCCCTCGCTGTTGGAGTCATCATCATCATAGATGAAGCTGGCAGGGGAAGGTGAGTAGCGCTCTGGTGTGTTCACTTGGCGTCGGCCCTCCAAAATGCTGCGTTGCAGCGCAGCCACACGCTTCTTTGACAAGTTCAGGACTGGTTGCTCTTCAGTCTCAACATCATCGTCCTTGTCCTGGTCCTGGTCAGTGACCTCGTCAGTGACGTCGCTGTCCTCGCTCTTGTCAGGCACAACATCCGCCTTGCCGCTCTGCCCTGGGGCGCTGCTGCCATCACGATCATCACCAGCCATGCCCGGCTTGAGGACCGCCAGGAGCCGGGCCAAAACTTCTTTCTTTCTGCCTCGCACTTTCAGCCCCTTCTCCTTGCACAGCTTCCGCAGCGTCCGCACGTTCATCTCCTCTGTCGCCTGATCAGATTCGCAGCTTCCACGATCATCTTCCCCTTTCTTCTCCGCCGGCGCTTCCGTGGATTTGGCCTTTGCAGACTCTTTCAACACCCCATGTCGAGTCAGGCCAACTACTGAAGCAGTGGCAAGAGGCATCTTGAGCACATAGCGCTTCCCGAGCTTAGACAATGTCAAGCCGCTTTAACAGATTGCTTTGCTGGCAAACGATGCGGGCAACACGAAACCTGACACGCCCGGCCTGGCTAATGGCCGAGATGCGGGGTTGGAAGTTTGCCTCAGCAAGCACAGCGCTGCACAGCTCCAACTGAATCTCAGCACGATCTCAAAAATGAGCGCCGAGCAAACAGCGAGACGGGCCTTGGCTGCTTTGGCAACAATGAGGCTCCACATGGCTAGACAATGTAGTGCAACCGACAAAGTCGTGCGAACGACAGTAGCTTTGTTCAGCTCTCGCATTGCGGCACTGTCCAGGCACTACAGTCAGGTGCCCTCAGTCGCGGCGTTTCCTGCAGCGTTGTCAGACTCAGAACAAGCGCAGCGCGCAGTGTCTGGCTCCAGCCTCTTCCGGCTGTTGTGTTCATCATCCGGCATATTGTCATCAGCAGTGGGCCGTTCCTGGCAAGACACTAGCAACAAAGTTAAAGCCATCAACAAAAAAGGTTGGAGTCGCTGTCCTTGCTGCGTTCCTGCGGCTCAGTGTCTCTGTCGCCCTCCTGCAGCGATGCAACCAACAGATCAACGCAACCAAGCACAACTTGCAATGGCCTCCTGTTTGACACCCTCCGGTGGACCCGAGGCTTCAGGACTATCAGTGGGCTCGTCCTGCAGACACAGTTAACAAGTTACAAAAAAACGCAACAAAACTTGCAGTCCTTAGTCTTTGTCAAGGTGGATCGAAGTTGCTCAGCTTCCTGCCAGCGCTTGACTCGGCTAAGTAAATCACAGCGAACTCTTGGTCTTGCAGTCCTTGGGCCTCGAATCTGAAGTGGGCGGAGGCTTTTCAATTTCGACCTGACACGCTTGACTGACCATGACATGGCAAGCTCTTGACTGACAGCGCCTGGCGGGAGATCAAGCCCTCAACAAACAGGCAGCTCACAGTCTGGAAGCACACCTTCTCCAACGCCTCGTCGGGCGACGATGGTGGGCAGCTGAGAGTGGCTGATGATGGGAAGCCCTGCCTGGCTCTTGACATTCAGTTTGGCCTCCTGGACAGCTATGAACTGCGCCTGTCAAAGACAGGACCAACTGGCCAAAAACAGGAAGACAGCCCTGTCACTACTGGCCTGCTTCGCCAACAACTTTTCCCTCGCCATGAGCTCTGCCTTCTGCTGGGCGATGTTGCCCGCCTGCCAAGTGACCAGATTCAATCCCGCATGACCCGCATGACGATCAATACCCGCATGACCCGCCTGCTCCTTTGCTGCTCGAGCTTTGTTCTTGGCACGTTGTCTGCGAACCTTTTCTGACAGCAGATCCTGCATCACCTCATCATACTCCTCGTCCTTCTGGCGTGTCAGCTCCTCCAAGGCTGTGGTCTTCTCCCTCTGTGCTCTTTGAAGCTCCTCCTCATGCCGCTCCTTCTGGGTCTTCAGGAGCGCCTCCATGTCCGAGTGCAAGACTGTGGCGCGCTGCTGCAGGTTCTGGGTGTCACTCTCATGTTTTTGCCGCAGCTCTTTCAGTTGCTCCTGCAAGGTTGCAACCTTTGCTTCCGACTCGCGCAGCGTCGCCTCGTTCGCGGCAAGTTTCTGGGAAACGGCTTTGAAGCTCCGAAGCTCGCGCATATCCTGGCTCCAATTCCGATTCCATGTCACCGGCGCCGACTTCGCATCCTTGGGCTCGCCCACCTGCTTGGTGAACCACGGGTGGATCGCATAGTGCTCGGCCACCATTTTCGACTTCGGGTCAAAGTCCGGCTCTGCTGGCCTTGCGGATGGAGGCGCCGGCTCCACTGGCCTTGCGGATGGAGGTGTCGCCGGCTCCGCTGGCCTTGCCATCGCCGGCCCCGCTGGCCTTGCGGATGGAGGTGTCGCCGGCTCCGCTGGCCTTGCGGATGGAGGTGTCGCCGGCTCCGCCACTGGCCTTGCAGATGGAGGTGTCGCCGGCTCCGCTGGCCTTGCAGATCCAGGTGGCGCCGGAACCGGTGTCGACATGACTACGAGTGTAGACTAAGCAAGTGCTTCGTTTGCGCCGCTCTTTTCACGCACTAAGCTTGACCATTGACTGATTGTTGCAATGTCCATGCCCTAAGCTAAGCTTGACCAACGACTGACTGGGGCTTGCAAACAACAGCGCTGAGGCGGCGGGCTGAAGGTAAGACGCGCGGCAGTTGCTGAAGGTAAAACCCGCCCAAGTAATCTTTCAGTCCGAAAGGTTACTTGGGCGGCTGGTGGGTTTTAACACGTGTTTAGATGTTTAGAACGTGGTTAGAAGCAGAACACGTGATGCATGCCCAACCCAACTCACTCACTCACACACACACACAGACACACACGCGCAGTTGGAACTGCTGAGGCTTGCAGATCGCTTCGCCTTGAGGCCGGGGCCGGCCAGTGTGACTGAAGACCCAGACCATCCAAACTGAAGACCACCCAGACCTGAACTGCGGCAAGAGTTGCAAACAAGAGTTCCAAACAGGTAGAACTGCAAGAGTTCGAAACACATAGAACTGCAAGAGTTCGAAACACATAGAACTGCAAGAGTTCAAAACAAGCAGCGAGCAAGAGTTCGAAACGGGTACAACTGAAAGAGTTCAAAACATGTTTACATCATCTTTGCAGCCATGCTCTTGCAGCACTCCATGAGTTTCATGCAACGCGTTGATAGCTCTTGCAGCCATGTGAGAGAGAGTGGGAGAGAGAAGACTCTTACAGTCTGCCATGAGTTGCGTGACTCGGCGACTCTTGCAGCCGCAGGTGACTCTTGCAGCCACCAACTGTGAACGACTCTTGCAGTCGCTCGGTGGCTCTTGCAGCCACCGATGAACTCTTCCAGTTCATATGGGTGGCTCTTGCAGCCACAATTGTTTGTTGCAGTCATATGGAATGACTCTTGCAGTCACAGGGCCTGACGGGTGTAGAAAAATAAGACTCTTGCAGTCTTTCACGAACTCTTGCAGTTCATGTTTGCGACTCTTGCAGCCACTTGTGAAACATGGTGACTACCAATGAACTTGCGATGAAACCTGGACACCTGTCTGGCTTGAAGCCCTCCTTGCTCAAGTTCGACGCCATAGATCGTCAAGCCTGAACATCGCATTTACAGGTTCATCAATGATGAAGAGGCCAGCACGCAAGGAGGCCTTCAAGAAGCCAGCGGCGTTGTCAAGCCAAGAGGTTTGCAAGAAACCAGCCAGCCAGATTTTCAAGAAGCCGGCAAACAATGACGATGACAAGGAGGCCCCGGCAAGCACTCAGAGAGATGACCAGCCTGGCCTTGATGAGGTGCTTGCGTCTTCTCGCATAGTCGGCGGCAAGGATGTCATGGCCATGCGCAACTCAAAGAATTATCATCATCCCCATTGTGTGTGGTTGAGGCAGCTGAGCCCTACACCAGCCTTGAATGCAATCAGCCCTTGCCAAGATTGCTGCATTTTGGCTTCGCCACGCAGGGTCCGTGCATGTGCCGGCGAGTATCACGACCTCCCAGATTGCCCTAGGCTACATCGTTGCGGCGCTCCTGTGTCGTTGTATCCTTGTGAGCATTGCCGAGCGCTGTGGGATGATTTCCCGAAATGCTGAGCTGTGGCATTTGTTGCATGGCTTGTCAACTTGGTAGTCACGTGTGTCGAGCGGGCTGAAAGGATCACGCAACAACCTTTTATCAAGGACTTGAATTAAACTTGAAGGAAAAACATGTTGTCAGCACGCTTGCTCATTTTCCGGCTGTCGTTTGCTCATGCATTTTGCACATAGGGTTCTGCGGCGCTACACCTGAGATAAATTCAGATGTGGAAAACATGGCTTAAATGAATCAGACTTAACAATAATGATCTTAATCTAGCACATGACATATTTGAATTCAAACTACGCGCTTAATTTTGAGGTGTTTGAGTTATATCATACTCTGAATATTTGATATTTTTAAGCAAAACACGGTGAATATTTGCAATATTTAGTTTCTATATCACTGAATAATTGTGATTTAGATCATATCTTGTAACCCTTACAATTATAAATGTCTTGATATTGGCTCATGAACTTCTTTATATCGGCGCACGTGATTTCAGGAACTGTTGGGCTCAATTTCTTTTGGGGAAAGCTGTCAAGGCACCTGCTTGGTTCAGCCTGTCTGCCAGGAAAAGGCGTTTTTGGTTGCATTTGTCTGATCAAGAAATTGGTTCGACCTATCTGTCAGGAAGGGGAAAAAGCAATAAGTTTGTTTTCAAACAACATTCCCTCTTCTCGGGAAACTGCTGCAGACATGAAGATTTTTTTGGGGCTCAAGCTGATATTTTTTTGGCTCAAGCTGAGCCTTTTTTTGGCTCAACTTCACGAAGCACTTGTTTTTGGAGCTCAAGCTGAGGCCTTTTTTTTGATCAAGCTGAGTTTTTTTTGGCTCAACTTCACGAAGCGTTTTGGCTCAACCTTTGAGGCGCAATCTCATCACGAACCATTTTTTGTCATAGGCTGCGGTGTCTTGTTTGAGCCAAATGTGAAACTGCAACTGCAAAATGGTAAATGGTGGCTTGCCACTAATTGAGCGGTAAGTAAGGTCTGCTGTGCCCAACATCCTCATGGTGAAATCGCTGGTCAGGAGACCGCCAAGACGGCCTACTACCCTTGGAAGATGGTCACTTCCTTTGCACGCTTCTGGCGCGATCAAGAAGTTGGACTTCGGCAACTTCGTTGTGCAACGGCCATCAAGAATCTTCACGACTTGGAAGAGGAGGTGGACATCTTTCCTGCTGCTCTACCTGCTGATGATCCACCACCAGCTGGTGACCCTGCCGTACCAGTGCCTGGACCTCCGGTTCTACCTGCTCCTGTTCCCCCTGCTGCTCCACCGGTAGTTCATGATGGTGATGGTCCCTCTCCAGAAGAGCTTCGCAAATGGGAAGCGAAGGTGGCTCATTATCACAAGGCTGCCGGACATCCTACGTCCCGGAATCTGGTTCGTCTACTTCGAGAATCAGGTCAACCACAATGGAAACTACGGGCAGCCGAAAACTACAAGTGCCCGGGATGTGAATCTCTTCGACCTGGTGGCACCAGCTCCGGTGCTATCCCACCAGCAGCCACACACGAGCTCTATGGACCCTGGGAAACTGTCGGTGTGGATACAGCAGAGTGGACCGTGCCTGGCCTCCTCAAGAAGGTCAAGTTTGCTGTGTTCATCGATTTCGCTACTCGGCTGCGAGTCGTGATTCCCTTGCTCGAGGCCTACGACCTCTTAGTCATGAAGACCGAGAATGCCGAACACATGATCAAAGCCTTTTCTGAAGGTTGGCTGCGCTTCTACCCGAAGCCGATCCACCTCATCACCGACAACGGCATGTCCTTCACTGCAGAGCGCTTCACAGAGTTCTGTAGATCAGTTGGCATTGATCACACCTTCCCGCCGGAGAAGGAGTCTTGGAGTCATGGTATCGTTGAACATGCCGTGCGAGACATCAAACACACTGCCAGCGCCATCCAGCTGGAGGCCTTGGATCAAGACCCTGCGGTGACCTTGGCCCTAGCCGCATCTGCCCTGAACAGTACTGAGTACACCTCTGGGATCACCTCGCACCAATGGGCGTTTGGTCGGGACTACAACATCTCCGAGGAGGATCACCGCTCCCACATGCAGCTCTCCGACCGCATGACCTACTCCAACCTGGTGGCGGCTCGTCAGAAGGCCGAGGAGGTTGCCCGAAAAACTCGCTCTCAGCGTATCTTGACCCGCCTTGGCAACTCCAAAGCACGACAACCCCTACGAACCTTCCAGCCCACTGAGCTCGTCAAGATCTGGCGGAAATCACTTCCCTTGGAACAGTTTACTGGACCTCGAGGCGGTCTTCGCAAGTCGGGCAGACCTGGTTGGATAGGACCTGGACGGGTGATCTTCATGGAAGTCTTGCCTCACCAGAAGGAGGACGATCCTAGACGTCACATTGTCTGGGTGCTGATGTCTGGCAAGCTGTTTCGCTGCAGTGTGCACTCTGTCCGGCCAGTCACTCCCACAGAGCATCTTCGCTGGGACCTCACCAACAAGGAGGACCCATCGTGTAAATCGCTGTCAGACCTACTCCCCCGTAAGGAGTACCACGACATTACCGACGAGATACCGGATGCCAACGAACCTGAAGAATGTCATCTACCACCATCTCCAGATTCCAGTACTCTGGTTCCTCTCCGACGACAACACACCAAGCGCACTATGGCGCCGGAAGATTACAGGAGGGTGCATCGATCGTCTCCCATTGGGCTTGGACCGTCGCGATCCCTGTCAACTACAAGTCCAACTGGACTTTCAACGGTGCCCGATGCTCCCGATGCTCCTGAAGTTCCTGAAGCTGGCCATGAACCCTCTTCAAGTTCTGGTCTTCGTCGTGTGCCCGAAGATGGTGATGAAGATGTCAATGACTATGATCCGGACCCCAAGAAGGCTCGCACCATCGACTACGATATCAAGTGGGTTCAGATGCTTGAATCCGAGGCTCAACAAGAAGTCAACAGCCTTGACCTGTACTCTGCACTCCAGGAAGTCGAGGACTGTCTCTCCATCACTTTCGATGTGACATTGGACTCCAACAAGCAGCGCAAGTGCCTGGAGTATAACCCCACAGCCTTCCTGGTGAAAAAGATGAACTCCTCCGAGGTGCAGTTGCAGAAGCTCACACCTTCACTTCGTGGACTCTTCGAGAGAGCCAAGACCAAGGAGGTGAACTCCTTCCTGAAGAATGAGGCTGTCCGTAAATGCCTGGACGATGCAGAGATTTCTCGTGCCTACTCCACGAACCGCATCCTCAAGGCGAGATGGGTTCTGACCTGGAAATCTGTACCTCCTGAAGATC